AATATCCTTTTTTTATATAAAAAATAAGTGTTATTTATTAGCTATATTATTATTATTTTTTTATATTTTTTTAATCTTTTTAATTATTTTTAAAGGTAATTTATTTTTAAAAAGGTTATTATTAATTAAAATAGGATAATTTTATTAAAGAAAGTTTAATAAAATAATTTAATATTATTAATTTTTATTATATAAATATTTAAATTAAATTTATATATCTTTTAATACCATTAGTAAAAGCTTTAATTAGTTTAAAATAAAGCTTTCTTTTAAAGTTAATATAATTTCGTATAAAATCTTTAAGCTTAATATAAATCCTTAAATATAGTTTAATATAATTTTCTTTTATAAAAAACTTTTTATTAAAATTAAAAACCTTTAATTATACCTTATATTATTAAAAAGTTTTAGTTATAATAAATTTATTAATCTTTATATTTTTTAAAAGGATATATATTATCCTTATAACTTTATATAATATTAAGTTTTTTTTAATAGGAATAGCTTAATTAAAAATCTTATTTATATTATATAAGTTATATAAAATCTTTAATTATATATAAGGCTTTTTTTTTTATTTTTTAATATAATGGTTATTTTAAATGTTTATAAATTTTATAAATTTATTTTAAATTATAAGCTTATAAATTATATATATTATAATAAAGTTGTTAAATTTTTTAAAGATAAAAAGGTTATTATAAATAAGTTTATTTTAAAAATTTTGAAATATATTAGCCTTATATAAAAGTAATAGTTTTATATTTATAATTTAATAATTAATTATTCCTTTATAAAAATATTAAAATTATAATTTTATCTTAATATTTTTTATATTAAGTCTTTAAAAATAAATGGATAATAGTTAATTTTTTTATTAATAATAATAAAGATTATTTTAATTATTATAAAAGTTAATAATAATATAATCTTTATAAGTTAAAATAGCTTAAGCTTTAATTTATAATAATATTTTTATGTTATAATTTACCTTAGTAAAATAAGGATATATTTAAGTAATAAATATTATATAAAAGAATTATTTTAAAATATTAATAATTATAATTATTAAATACTTTATATAAATTTAAATAATTAAGTAAAAGTAAATGTTAATATAAGTATAAATTTAAATAAAATATTAAAATTTAATTAAAAATATTATATAAGATTATACTTAAAATTTAAAATTTATTAATTTAATATAATTGTTTAAAGATTAAAGAAAATTTAACTTAAAGATTATAAATTTTATATAATAATTTTATTTAATTTTATATTATTATTATATTTAAATAAAATATAATTATTTATATATTTAATATATATAAAATTTCTTAATAAGTAATTTAATTTTAACTTATATAAACTTATAAAAATAAAAATATTTATAATATTAAATAGAAAAATTATATTAATTATATTTTTAAATAAATTTTTTAACTTAGTTTAAGATTTTTTTATGTTTTTCCTTTATATAATATTACTATTTAATATTATATTTTAATTATATAAATTAAAAAAGCTTTAAACTTATATTAATATTTTTTTTATAAAGGTTTTAAAAAATAAAAAAATTATTATAATTATTATAAAAAATATAAAATTAAATTTTAACTATTATTTTATTTATTATTTTTATATAAAAATATTAATAAAGGTTTTAATTTTATAATTTTCTTTTTAAAATATATTTAATAATATTAATATATTTTTTTAAATAAAAATATATTAAATTAATAAACTTTTTAAAGGCTTAACGGTTAAAGATTTTATTTTTATATTTATTAATTTTAAATTTTAAATAAGGTATAATAAATATATTAAAAAACCTTTTTTATACGAGTCTTTTTTTTAATTTTTATCTATATAAATCTTTATTTTTATAATGTTATTATTATATTCGGAGGCATTTTATCCAATCGGATGAATTTTCATCCGTTGATTTTTGTTTTATCGGATTTGCACTAATGGCGCACCGTAAGGCAGGTTGGATACATTCATCAGTCTTCTATGCAGGTACCCTTCAATTTGCTGAGAATACCTACATATGTACCTACCTGATATACCCCTAACATGGATATGGAAGTCTCTCAATGGTGGATTTGGAATACCTTGACGAATTAATTCATGTCCATCTTGTCAATTCTTGCTATATGGCAAATCCTGGCCTAATTGATTACCTAGACAACAGCCGCCTCGAACAGGCGCGGATTCCAGGTGGACAGGAAGCGAGAAACGTAGAGACGAAGAGCCAATGACTTGAAGACGTTAGCAGCTTGTGAGAAATCCGGTTCAGGCACAACATTTGGTGGCTCGCCGTCTCTCGCAACCTCGGCGTCATCTAAGCTAGCGCGCGGCGAGTCATGGGCGAGGATATCATCATCGCCAACAGACTCAATGGGCTGGACGTGCTGGTCCAGCGGTGACGGCTCTTGTATTGAAGCAGGTGCTGGAGCATTAGCTCGAGGGTCCCTCGATGTGGCTAACCCTTCTTGATAGCTCTTAGCCGTCGTGATAGTTATTATCTGATTTGGAAAGAATGGAAATTCTGGACTAATAAAAGTAATAAGAGCCAAGGCTATAAGTCTAGGTAGGAAGTAGTTACAGATGTATTTGATCCGCCCTCGCCAGATAATATAATCCGATTTTTACATATGCTGAGCCGATCAACAGCTAGGTCAACAGTCAAGTTACTGACTCCTGCTGGCCGTACGAATTGAATTGAGTCGAATCTTTGAGTTAGAGAAAATATGCCCTGGCTGATAATATAAGTTTCCATATAGTAGAATGAGTGCCAAGTATTAGTTAACAGAGTTGATCGCCCTTGCGAATTGTAAGTGTTACGGACGACGTACGCAGAGGACAACAATAAGGTAACACAGGGGACAAAAAACGCTACGAATTACTGTAGTTTGATAATAAGTTCCCATTTCAGGCCGTTATATCATCAGAATGAGAGGTGAGTACACCCTATGAACCGTGACCATTACCTAACGAATAATAAAAAAGCTACCAATCGGTCTTTTGCTTCTCCCTATAATAGCAATTGCCTTGTTCGAAGCCCAAAATGTTACAACCCAGCAAAATGCCTACACTTTGCGTTATACAACCACCATAATACCCGGACTGGCTTGATTCATGAGAAGGGGGGCATTGAGGTCCAATGCTGGCTCCGGTTCTACTTCTTCCGCATCAGTCCACCCTCTCTCCTTACCCCAGATAATCTTGATTCCTCGAGTCTTGACGACTTCAATAAGCCCGCGCATGAGTGCGCCTGACTTCTTAACGTTGGGCCACGCCTCGAATTCAATCCGGTGGACCCATGGCATTTCATCAAGAACGCCGATTAGTAGAGACTTCGAGAATCTCTCGTAGAAGTTGTCCGGTTGACGGAAACCCTTAAAGAAGTCATTTCCCGGGTCGCATTCCACGTAGACGGTGATCTTGTTCACATTGACGCAGTCTGATAGACCCAATGCAGGATTCACAACCCAGCCGCGTGGTGGGCTACTCCAGCCCGGCCCGAGGCGTAGTTCGAGCGAGGTCAAGCTCGATCGTTGGTTTGGCTTCATACGAGCCAGGAGAGGCTTCTTAGTCTTAAAGAAACGTCCCGGAATCGTCGGGAAGATGCGCACGGGGTGTGTGCTGTAAAACAAGTACGAAGCTTCTCTATATATAGTGCGACAAACTCGGAAAATAGCTAGCTTCTGGTGAATTCTCTTGTAGTTGTCACGATCGAGGTCGAGCACATCACCCGTGCCGACAAAATGGTAATCGTAGACCTTCAAACGTAATTCAGATGGAAGATCGAGAAATCGGAAAGGCAGCTGCTTCGCTCGTTTCGGCTTGCGCAGGTTCGACACAGATCCGTCCAGCGAAAGGGTGCCGATTGGTAGTTTCGCCACTTCATCGTTGTTATCGTACTCGGCTTCGGAGGTATAGGTAGAAGGGTAAGCCGAGCTAAGTGGCGTAGTAAAGGTTGAAGAGATAGGAGTTGGGCCTGAAGACGCTCCAATGGCCCTGGATCCCTTCGCCGCGACAGCTTTGCGACGCATTTTGGACACGTCGGTTTAATCGGGATCGCTGGTTTATCCGAATAGGATCCCTAGAATATAAATGTGGCGACACTAGCAACGCGGACTCGGCGGCACGCGACAGTCAACCTTTGCGTATAAAAGTCGAGGATGGTAATTTATACGTCTGGCTTTCTAGTTATTGCTCAAAGAAAATTGTTCCGCAGGTAATATGGGACAATTGTTTGTATCTCAGGACAAGTGGCATCGCCGAGGGTGGTGCCATCGTGATACTTCAACGAGTGACAACCACCCTCTAGAACGCAGCACTCTTCGCTGCCATGTTGGATATCGAAGTAGTAAGTCGACCGTATGCAGTATAATTCATAAGAGAGTAGAAATGACAAATAGGCTAAGACTCGGCAACAAGAGATAAATAGGAAAAGAATCAATTGCCCCGAAGAAAAGAGAGGGGAAGACGACCGGCAGAAAGGTAACCGGAAGAAGGAACTGGTAACTTGGGTAGTGAGTGGTAGAGGGTAGAGGGAGGAGAGGTTGAGTCAATTCTATTTGATGCTTCTTAGAATAGAATGTTTAGGAAAGGAGTCGGGAGTAATGGACATTCGCCATTCGCCATTCACCACTACATGAATGACATTGAACTGCTCCGAGTGTTTCGATACGTACCTACATATGTATGTACATGCAGATTGATGACATGATCTTTAGACTAAGTGGGGTGGAAATGGTCCAGGTGATTCGGTAGTAAAGTCAGGGACGGACAGACCGGGAGTTTGGCCGGTTCGGTAAGCGGGGTATAATACTGTAAGAAGGTTTTGAAAGTGGCGGGTGTTCCATACCGGATTGGGGATTAGCTCGACGTGACTTACGCAGTTAGGCTAAGCAAAGCTAAACAACAAAGCGCGCATGTGGGATATGCTTTAAGATAACCAACTCGTTCACCATCACCAATCACACAAAATAGGCAGGATGGCCGAGTGGTTATGGCGGAGGGTTCAAGTTGTCACGACTTGTCTTGTGTATTAAAACACCGAGATTTCCTCTGGAGCAATCCGCAGGGGTTCGAATCCCCTTCCTGTCATTCTTTTTTTTCATTCATTTGATATTAATTTTTATACTTGTTATTATCTGCTTCATTTTTGGTTTTGCATTCTTTCCTTTTTCCTTCTCAAGCCTTATAAATGGATTCGAAATATTATTTGAAAAATCTTCCAGTGGAATGACGTGATGTGGATTCTGGTTACATGTACATAAGTACCACGGACAAAGTTAGCACCGAAGCAACACACAGAGTCTTCGAGAACCAATCCCCGCAGCTTTCCGTTTACAGCTCTTACGTAGTGCCTGGGAAAACTTCGGTATGATAGAAAAAAAAAGATTGAACAGACTCCCCTATCTTACCAGGATGATTTTGAATTGAACAGGGTTAAGCTTTAGGACGGTCTAAAATTTCCTAATCCTCGTCATCCCGCGCAGTCTCAACCGACGAGCCTCTGGTCTGCATTCTACATTGTTGGCTGGATTGGCGCTGAGACCTTGGTATACATCCGTCATTCATTGCTAGATCCTAAGTATATATCGAGGTCGATAATCTAGCATCATGTTATCGAGAGCTCTCGCGCGCTCTGCGCGACTACCTGCGCTCTCAAGACCAGCCATAGCAACTCCAGCTTTTTCCAGAATATCCAGACCGGCTGCTCCGATATGGGTACGAGCAATGGCTCAAAACCGTCCTCCAAACCAACCGCCGAGCTCAGGATCAAGCCAGCAATCCAAATCTAATCAACCTCCATCCAGCTCGGCTCAGCCTACCCAATCTGAGACGTCCACTCCCAAATCTGCTTCCGAGTCCGCTTCACCATCAGCGCAACCTTCACAAGGCGCTGAGGCCGAATCCTCTACATCTAAACAGCCCGACTTAAGCCAACTCCCTGATCTCACCCACGGTATCCCGTCGACTCTCGAGTATGAAACAAGTGGCGCCACAAACAAGTCGGCGCTTACCGCACTTGAAGAGGATACGCACGAAACCCAAGCTGGTGGTGGACGCGGGAAGGGGGAGCTACCCGCATCCGCATATATCAGTTCGACAGAAAAACGGAGGAACAGACTCGCTAATCGCATGTATGTCGTGGCGCTGGTCTCCGGCGTTGTAGGATTAGCATACCTCGGCCGCGACTGGGACGAGGAGGAAGCTAAGGCGCATACCGATATCCCCAATGGCTGGTCGTTTTCGCTCTGGTGGAAGCGTATGATGGCTCGGTTTGGCGATGTCACGAGTTACTACAGCGAACCCGCCTTCGACAAGCTTCTACCCGATCCCGATCCCATGTTCGAGCGGCCATACACTCTGTGCATTAGTCTCGAGGATATGTTGGTACACAGCGAATGGACCCGAGAACACGGCTGGAGAGTTGCGAAGCGCCCTGGCGTAGACTACTTCCTGCGCTACCTCAGCCAGTACTATGAGTTGGTGCTATTTACTAGCGTTCCATTCGCCATAGGAGAGCCGTTGGTTCGAAAGCTGGACCCCTTCCGATTTATTGTCTGGCCGTTGTTCAGAGAAGCTACAAAGTACAAGGACGGTGAAATCGTCAAGGTGAGTGTTGATCGTTATTTGTCTCTATTTCTGTATACTGTGTTTATGCAGAATCACTAACACAGAATGCGCACAGGACTTGTCGTACTTAAATCGTGACCTCTCCAAGGTCATTATCATCGATACGAAGCCCGAACATGTCCGAAACCAGCCCGAGAATGCCATCGTCTTGAAGCCTTGGACTGGCGACCCTAAGGACACCGAACTCGTCTCATTAATCCCTTTCCTTGAGTACATCCATACTATGCAGTATAAGGACGTACGAGAAGTACTCAAATCCTTCGAGGGCAAGCATATCCCCACCGAGTTCGCCCGCCGAGAAGCGATAGCGCGTGCCGAATTCCAGAAGCGGTTCGAGTCCGAGAAGCGAAAGCGAAAGAGCGGGATGGGAGCTTTGGGCAACATGCTAGGCCTGAAGCCAACCAGTATGAGCATGATGGTGCCTGCCGAAGGCGAGATCAGCCCGAGCGAGGCCTTCGCGCAAGGCAAGATGTTGCAGGATATCGCACGGGAGAGGGGCCAGCGCAACTACGAGTTGATGGAGAAGGAGATCCGCGAGAACGGCGAGAAGTGGCTCAAGGAGGAACAGATGGCGACGGAGAAGGCTCAGGCCGAGGCTATGAGCAGCATGAAGTCGTCTTTCATGGGCTGGTTCATACCTTCGAAACCGGAAAATTCCACCACCACCAGTAGTGAGGCCAAGAAATAAGTTATGCCATTGGAAGGCGTGTAATGTGGGGAGATGTATGATACGAGGAACGAACGTCTAGAAGGGGAGGGGGGCGTTGTATCATTCGCATGATCCATTTGGTTGTTGATTGTACAGGACTACGGCGACAACCATCATTAAGGTACTACTACCGGTGCTATACCCTGGAACGAAACTCTACTCTGAAACGGCGGCATCATCATTTCTTGCATAGGACGGGGCTCAATCAAATCTGGGGATGACATACATTCACATGGTTTAAGGGCTAAAGAAAAAAAAAAACAGTGCACTGCTTGCTCATGCATGTCACACCCGAGGAAAAAGTCCCTTGGAAGGAAAGGGAAGGACTCGACTTTGGGAGAAAGAAAGAAAGAACGGCGGAAAAAAAAAACACGGAAAGATATACGCCGAGATAAATCTAATCTCTGTATTATAGTATAAGTGAGCGACTCGAGGCCAAACTCTACCCGGGCCTCGATTGCGGTGTATAGAAATCCATCGATATAGTAAGCTATAACTAGCTGGAGCACCCCTGAGTGGAGTTGACATGATAAAATATGATATGGATGCTCGTGGGGACATGTTGGTGCGCGGTGCAGTGTTGCCCAGTCCCCCCTTTTATGCTATGATATATGAAAAGGGGTTATCTCCGCAGTCATGTCCTCATGCCATCGACCAAAACTTGTACGTAATAAATCAACGCGCTCCCATCCCATCCTTCCTTCCCTCAGCGTTTACTCGACTATTTTTTTTTCTCGTTTCTTCCCCGTTTTCTAAAATGAAGGCCAAGGCGTCATTCGCTAGCCTACTTCGTAGTAGCCGGTGGGGGAGGGGGAGGAAGAGGAGGAGGAGGAGGGGACGACGATGATGATGGTGGCGGAGGTGAAGATGTTGGTGGTGGAGGTGGAGGTGAGGATGACGGCGGAGGAGGTGAGGGCGAAGGTGAAGGTGAAGGCGACGGCGATGGTGTCGGGTCCCAGGCATGATGATCGCGGCACCACTCGCAGTTCGGGTTGGTCTGACAATTGAAGTCGCTAAAGCAAGTTAGCATACACGTTAATATATAATTCATTCTCTTTATTCCCTTCTCTCGTCCGTGCCTCTACTCTAGGGCGTCGAAGAAGAAAGTTGAAAGGGAGAATGGGAAAAGGAGATTCCGCAAAGCATACCCGTCTAAGCACTTGCAATAATCCTGGAGCGCAACGCAATCCGGGTCTCCGTGGTCTTCATACCCGCCGGGAGCAGACGGCGCGTGCCATCCAGTTAGGGTAGTCCTAGCCGGCGGAGGCGGTGGCATTGCGAGGGCAGCGCCGCAGAAGGCCATGGTAAGGGCGATGATGTTGGAAGACCGCATGATGGATGTATGGTCTAGATCTTGATGTTTCTGTATGAAGTAAACTTTGAGTTGTTTCCTTTCTTGTTTTCCTAGTCTCTTGAGAATGTTGTCTCTAAGGCGGATTCTGTGTTGGTGTAGAGAATGATGCTACAATTCCTGTCTGGCTGGTTCCTTGCACATCTTTATATAGAATACCCATCATCGTGCCATCATATCGTCGAAATCTTGGCTTAATATCAAGCATCTAGTTCGATGGAGCAGCTCTCGATCAGATGTCACAGCGACTCCACACACAATATGATACCATAGCCTCTGTTCTCCATAGGTGACGACATTAGTCAGTGATGAGAAATATGTTTTCTAAGCAGAGAGACATTTCTTGTCCTTTCTGATGTTGCGGTGAGTCCTAGCCTTTACCTTGTCAGACTGAAAGAGCGAGGGGAGCAAGAAGCGTCCGAAGATATCACATGGTGTGGATATCAAATCAAACTAACGACGACCTTATACAGCCAAGGTTGTGATTCACCAAAATTACGTCGTAGGAGATGGGGTTTCTAAGCAAACAGTGTACTTGGCGTGCTCTCCTTTTCCTGCTTTCAAACTATTATCCTCCCCTTCGGGTACACCCCTCTAGACCCGACTACCACGTAAGGAATCCCAAGTAAAGTTGAGGAGGCTGGCTACGCGGGTACCACACATGCTCACGGGTCGTACAGTCATGACACAAAACGGCACATGTGGATTGAATTCGAAGTAGGCGACCCTGACATACATATTAGTCAGCATAACAAGCCGAGACAGCTCGAATTGTACGAATTCCAAGTGTCAAAGTCAGAAGTATACTTGATCGTTCTAGGACAACCGAGTCAGGGTCCATCTCGGCCGAGTCTCACTAGTTTTCTCATAACACTGTCTCGGAATCGTCATGCAGTGGTATAGGTATAGGGTCGCCGTCGTAGGCAGTTACACCAGTATAGGGATATTTTGTATGACTCGATGCTACCCCGACTATCCTTGGTCAATCTACCTGAAGACGGAGATTTAGGCGCCAGTTCGATTGATCACTCATGTCCTAACTTCTGCTCGGGCTCGAACGAGGTAATAGTGCTAATATTAAAAGCGATGTACGCATGCAATTAAAGCAGAAATTTGAGATATCAACGATACCCATTTAGCAGCAGACGGAAGCTAACGAAGGCTCTATCCCCACAACAAACTAATGATGGTATTATGCTACCTCTATTTAAACAGGGCCGACTGACTCGGTCCAAGCCAGATTCAAGTAGTAAACGAAAGACAAGTCGGTAGACAGTTCCAGCTAGATCAAACTAGCTTCTTGGAATGAGGTTAGAATAATGGAAAAAAGAAGAAAGTTTCTAACATAGAAAATAATAGCTAAGGTTCTTTTGTTACAATTTCTGTAGTACAAAGCTCCAA